GATTTCACAACTTACTACAAATCCTGCTACAGTAACAAAACAGTGGGGTGCCGGATAAAGACATATAGTCCCGTGGAATAGAATGGAGGACCCAGCAATAAAGTCTCATATATGTGGTCAAGTGGCTTTTGACAAGAATGCCAAGACCATTCAAGGAGAAAGGCATCATCTAATGCCATACACCAAAAAATGAACCCTAAGTGTAAGAGCTAAAGCTATAATCTCTTAAAGATAACAATGGGGGCAAACTTCATAAAAGCGGGCTTGGCAATGATTTCTTGGATATGACACCAAAAGCACAGGCAACAAAAGGAAAAATTTGATAAATTAGAATTCAAAAATCAAAAAGTTGTTTATCAAAGGATGCTCTCCAAAGAATGAAAAGGCAACTCCCAGAATGGGAGAAAATATTTGCAAATCATTTATCTGTAAGGAATTAATATCCAGAATAGATACAGAACTTCTACAATTCAGTAACAAGATAATAGACAACCCAGTTTAAAAATAAGCCAAGGACTTGAATAGACGCTTAACTGGAGAAGATACACAAATGCCCGATAAGCACATGAGAGCAGCTCAGTATCACCAATTGTGATGGTTAATTTTGTGCGTTGACTTGACTAAGCAATGCCAAGATAAGTAATAGAACAATATTTTTGGATGTGTCTGTGAGAGTAATTCTGGAAGAGATGAACATTTGACTCAGTTGACTGAGAAAAGAAAATCTGCCCTCCCGAGTGTGAGCGGGCATCGTACAATCCCGGGAGGGCTCAAGTAGAACAAAAAGGTGGAGGAAGGGTAAATCTTCTCTTCTTCTTGAGCTGGGGGGGTACATCTTCTGCCCTTGGACATCCGAACTGCTGGTTCTTGGGACTCTGACACTTCTATTGGGGTGCGCTTGCACACACCACACACACACACCACCAGCTTCTCAATCAGACTCAGATGGAATTATAGCACCAGCTTTCCTCGTTCTCTGTCTTGCACAGGGAAGACTGTGGGACTTCTCTGTCTCCATGACCATATAAGCCAACTCCTATAATAAATATTCCCTTTTTTATATATACAATATGATATATATTAAATTATATATATATAAAATATACACATATATTGTGTGTGTGTATATATATATATATATATATATATATATATATAGCAGTGTTTCCTGTTGTGTTTTGTTTCTATGGAAATTCTTGGCTCAATACACTGATTCTATGCAAATCAAAACCAAACAGACACCACATCACAACCACTGGGATAGCTGTTATTTAAAAAAACAAAAAACAAAAACAAAACAAAAAAAACAGGAAATAACAAGTGTTGTTGAAGATGTGAAGAAATTGGCACCCTGTGCATTGCTGATGGGAATGTGAAATGGTCCTGCTGATAGGTCTCCTATGTATGGTCTCCAGTATGGTTGGTTGATTCCTCAAAAAATTAACCATAGAATTACCATATGATCCAGCTATTCCACTTGTGGTTTTATACCCCAAATAACGAAAAGCAAAGATTCAAAGAGATATTTGTAAACCTCTGTTTTTTGCAGCGTTATTCACAATCGCCAAAAGGTGGAAACAACCAAAATATCTAGCGATGGATGAATGAGCAAACCAAATGCGACCTGTGTCTACAACGGAAATTAGCCTTAATGAAGAAGGAAATACGCACACATGCTACAACATGGACGAACCTTAGAGATATCATGCTAAGTGAAAAAAGGATGTATTGTATCTCTGCAAAAGGACAAATGTGTGATTCCAGTTATCAGAGGTACCTAGGAGAGTCAGATTCATAGAGACGGAGAGAACGGTGGTCACCTGGGGGTCAGGGGAGGAAGGAGTGGGAATTTAGGGTTCAGTGAGGACAGCATTTCAGCTTGACAAGATGAAAGGGTCCTGGAGATGGATGGTTGTGACCGTTGCACAACAACGTGAATGTGCTTAATGCCTTTAAACACACTTTTAAATTATGAGGATGGTGAAAGTTCTACTCTACACATCCTACTACTCTACACACGTTCTATACTATACACATTCTAATAAAAAAAAAAAGAGAAGTTGGTATTGATTTCCCACTCACCACCCACCCCCTTAACTGTACCAAATGGTCAGATTTAAAGGGGAAATGCAGTCATCGTGCGTGTTCCAGGTCTGCAGAGAACACACCTCGATTTTGGCATCATAAAGACAATCATTTAAAAGATAGGTGGTAATTTTTGTCTTTAATGCGGATGTGTTAGCGTCATGCGGGTTCGACATAACAGGGGATTGTGCTCATGGGTAGTTGGGAAAGAGGAAAATCCGGAGCAAGCTCTCAGGGGTAGAAGGGTCCTCAAGCCGGTGAGATTCAGATCCTGGGTCCCTGTGTCTTGATGATCCGTCAGCCCCCCCAGGGTGCTCCAGGGGGCTTGGGGTCCTCGCATGTAGGGCCGCGCTGACGGGCCCTCTCACAGGGGAGGCCTGTCCTCGGCCTGCTTCCGCAGCCCAGGCTCTGCAGAGCAGCCTCTGCTCACGTCGGGGCCCTCGGCCATCTCCTTGGTGGCCGCTGGTGTCAGCGGGGCTGGCGACAGCAGGGCAGGGTCGTCGTGCTGCCATGGGCCCTCCGTGTAGCACCCCGGGGCTGAATAGGGAGAAGCATGGAGGAGAACCCGCTTGGAGGGCCCCGGTGGGCCACTCTTAGGAATCGGCCCGACCTTAGGAGAAAGGTCCTGAGGAAATCTGGGAGAAGTGCGCCGGCCTCAGCTTTGCCCACGCTCCCAGTCTTGCCACTCCTCATGCGCCCTCGGGTGACAGGTGGCAGCTGCAGGTGGTCAGCAGGGCCTCACACACCGAGAGGCTGGTCCCCCGCGCATGCCGGACACTCGTGGCACATCGTGCGTCAGCTGTGCTCGCTAACACTTTTTTTTTTTTTTTTTTGGAAAAAGACAAAGTGCCACCTTTGGAGTAATCTTGTAAAGAAAACAAGGCAATTTCAGTGAGCTCATCTTTTAGAAGAGATGACTGGAGACCTCCCGGCCTCGGCGTGTGTCGCGGCAGCCACCACAGCCCGGGCCCGAGCACGGAGCCGCCCGCCGCCACAGGGCCGCAGCGGCCTCCTGGGGCCTTGCCTGCGGGTGAGCCCCGGGCCACGTGCTGTGTCCTGGCCGCATCTTACTGACCAGTCATCACATAGTGGGTCACCGCCGTTGTTTCGGTGCCCTTGTCGCAGGCGGGAAATGAGCGCAGAAGAGGCGCCGGACGAGACCCTGCGTGAGCAGAGGGTGGCCCAGGGACCCGGGGCCCTCTTGTGAGCTCCCCGGGGCAGGTGTCACCAGGCCCCGTGTCGCCCGCTCGCTCTAACGAGCGCCCAAGTCACCGGTACCAAGAGTACGTAGGGCAAGAGCGATCCGAGAGTGACTTACCGTGAAACAGTGAGCTGGAATCCACGCACAGTGAGCCCGAGTGACGGCGTCCTGAGCCCGCTCTGGAGGGTCTCCTGGGCTGGGCCTCCTAGACGGGGCCTCCTGGACGGGGCCTCCTGGACGGGGCTTCCTGGGGTGGCCTCCTGGGGCGGGAGCCTGCCGCTCGAGCAGACCCCAGTTCCCTCAGCCCCGCCGCGCGGGAGGCTGACCCGGCCAAAGCACCTGTGCCCGTCGCCTTGGGTGCAGGGACCCGAGCCCGTGTCAGGAAGCAGGTCGTCCTTGCACGTTGAGACGATGGCCAGAGCCTCTGTCCTTTCGGGGGCGGCCTCGTGCACTTCGGGAGACCTGCCAGCCGCCCGGGGGCCCTCACGGTGTGCCCTGGTGCGGGTCCCCGGGGCCGCGGTGGCCGCATGCAGGGCCCTGCCTGTCCTGGCGAGGGGTGCGCTGAGCCGGCTCCTCCAGACGCCGCGCCGGGCTGCCCCGCCACCCGAGACCCGGCCCCCTGGCCCCTGAGGCGGTTGGGCCTGCCCGGGGCTCGGCCGCTGGTCCCACGGGCCCCGGGCGTCTTAGGAGCGTGGGGCTGCGGCCCGAGGGCGACACCGGCCTGGCGACCGAGGCCCGGGGCCACTTACCCTGCGGGCGTCCCGGGGCACTTTGAGGCTGAGGCTTGGTGGTGGCACAGGGACGTCTGCGCTCACTGGGCATCCATCCGGGGACAGGCGCCCCACACCCCTGCACCCCCGCACGTCTCTGCACCCTGCACCCCCGCACCCCGCACCCCGCACCCACCCCGTGCTCCTGCTCCCTACCATAGCCACAGGCCTTAGACGACGGCAGGTGGCCCACACGTTGGTCCAGGGCGGATGCCTGCTGCGGTGCCAGCAGCCCGCGGAGTCAGAGGTGACCGTTCACTACGTCAACGGTCCCCTTGTCACCTCATCGCTCTGGCCCAGCATTTCTGAAAAACATTAAACAACTAGACGTCAAGTGACATCTGTCCTGTGAATACACAGACTAAAGTCACCAGAAGGCAGGTGGGGGCGTCTGTGCCTCCGGCAGCTCAGCCTTGATGGGGAGCTGGGCCGTGGGGCTGCGGGGTGCCCCCCCTGTGCTGCCGCTGCCCGTCTGCCCTGCGGCTCACAAGGCTGTGTCTACGCTGGGCCCGTGGGGAGGGGGATGGGAGGGTGGCCTCGAGCCTGGGGGGGGCACCTGGATCCTGCCCTGAGCCGGGCGGAGGGGGACCGGGGGGTGGCCTCCAGCCTGGGGGTGGAGGGGATGCACCTGGATGCTGACCTGACCATGGGCAGAGGGGGACCAGGGGTGGCCTCGAGCCTCGGAGAGGGGGGCACCTGGACGCTGACCCAAGCTGGGGCGGAGGGCGCTGCCCCCGTGCGGCTGTGCGCCGGGAAGATGCTGGACTTCACACCTGCTCCGCGCTGCGGCCAAAGCTCCAGCGAGTCGGGTCCCGGTCCTCGTTGGGGTGGAGGAAGGCCCGGTGGTGTGTCCCTCCCCGTGGCAGGTGGGCCTGCTGCTGCTGCTGTTGACTTTGGTGCTGCTGCCTGAAGCTAATGACTCTCGTGATGTTTTGTCCCCCCAGTGCCAGGAAGGGCGCCTGTGGCCATCAGACAGCTCCAGGCCTCGGCCATCGGCCTCAGAGGTGAGGAGGGGGTGACAAGGAAGGGGATGACAGGGTGAGGAGGGGGTAGGGGGTGAGGAGGGGGGTGAGGAGGTGAGGAGGGGGCAGGGGGCAAAGAGGGGAGTGAGGAGGGGGCAGGGGGTGAGTAGGGGAAGGTGAGGAGGGGAGGAGGGGGTGAGAAGGAGGAGGTGAGGAGGGGGCAGGGGGCGAGGTGAGGGGGAGGTGGGAGGGCAGGGGGTGAGGAGGGGGCAGGGTGAGGTGAGAAGATGGAGGGGGGTTGAGGAGGGGGCAGGGGCTGAGGAGGAGGTGAGGGGGTGAGGGGGGGCAGGGGATGAAGAGGTGGGGGGCACCAGGGCAGCAGAACTGGTGAGGGGCTTGCGGGGCCACAGCGGGATCACGAGATAACCCCCCCACCCCGGGAAGGACCGGGAAGGTTGGGGGGATCCCCCGGAGTGTCCCCGGGGCGCCCATGCTCATCTGCAGCCCCTTGGGGACCCCAGGCTGGGAGTCCCTGACCTGCACACGACCCGCCAGCTGCCCATCGGGGGGGCCTGGCTGATGGGGCACAGTTTGGGGACACATCTCCACGGCTCACACGAGGCCTGAAATAACACAGCCGTTTGCCCGTGAGCCAAACACACAGGTGAGAGAAGGCAGGAGACCGTGTGGCCGCGGCTGTCCCTGTAGACGCAGTCGGGTGGGAGAGGCGGGCGGGCCATGGACCCGGGCGCGGCCACAGCTGTTGGGCGAGCGGATGTGGGATCGCAGCCACTCGGGCCCACACGTCTCCCCGGTCGGTCACTGGAAGTTGCTGCAGGAACTCGTATCCAGAGCGGCTGGAAAGGCCTAGAGACCAGAGAAAAGGGAAGTCCCTTGTGGTTCTGGGTAACCGAGAGCACGAAGCTCCCGTGAATGATCCGTAAGCGGCCCCGGTTCTTGCACCTGCTGCAGGTCGCGCTGCGTGGGTGAAGCTGTGCAGCCCGGGGTGGGGCGGGGGGGTCCGGTCCCCTCTGGCGAGGGGCAGGATGAGGGGCGCCTAGACGCACCAGGTGCCAGTGTGGGGCGGCTCCTGCGACCCGGGTTTCCAGCTGGCCTGGGGACTGCGGCCTGGGCGCCCCGGGGTCACCGCAGCGGGTGGGTGGGGGCCGCGATGGTGACCAAGCTGCTGTTTGCTTTCTGGAATGCTCTTTTCCTGTTGCTCCTGCTCTGTTTGGAGAGCGTTGGCACTGCTGCGCGCAAGGCACGCTTGGACACCTGGCCCGCGTCACCTCCGCGGCTGCAGCCCGTGCCCCTTCCCTTGCAGGTCATGTACGCCCCGAGGCCCAGGGACAGGTTCGCGGCCCCTGCCTTCCTCCCCAGGGACCGCTTCAGCCGCTTCCAGCCCACCTACCCCTACGTGCAGCACGACATCGACCTCCCCCCCACCATCTCGCTGTCCGATGGGGAGGAGCCGCCGCCCTACCAGGGGCCCTGCGCCCTGCAGCTCAGGGACCCCGAACAGCAGCGGGAGCTCAACCGCGAGTCGGTGAGGGCCCCGCCCAACCGAACCATATTCGACAGCGACCTGCTGGACGTTGCCGCCTGCAGCGCGGGCCCGTGTCCACCCAGCAGCCACTCGGGCATCAGCGCCAGCACCTGCAGCAGCCACGGCAGAATGGAGGGGCCGCCGCCCGCCTACAGCGAGGTGATAGGCCGGCCCCCAGGCGCTGCCCTCCTCCGGCCCCAGCACGGCGCGCTCAGGGGTGGCGGCCCGGTGGCCCCGCAGGACAGCGTGGGGGGACCGGCGCTGCCCGCCCAGGCCAAGGACAGGAAGCCTGGGAACCTCGCATGAGCCGCCGGCCTGCACCCAGGAGGAAGCATCCAGGCAGCCGCCACCCCACCTGGGCTGCCCGGGTCACCTGTTCCGGGAAGGAAAACCCAACGTGTGGCGGAGCTCTTTGCTTTGGGCTCCTTAGGGGACCTGCATGGGCTGGGCGGAAACCCTACAGACTGCCATCGGGTCCAACCAGCATCGGCATCTGGGGACAGGTGCAAGGACGGGCCTGGCCCTGGTGGCGGGAGGGGGCTCGGAAACACCGTACGCGGGGTGCTCGGAGGGTATCATGAAACAAGACCCACAGAGGTGTTTGATCTATTTAATTATGAAAGGAGACTTTGCAGAGAAAGGGCCAGAGTGGCCTGTTTTATAATTAATTGATAAAGAAGGATGCATTATTATATATTGTCATGGGGAAGCATTGGCCAGTTTGCTTTTTCTCCCAAGGTGTGGAACTTTTTTATTTTGTTTTAAAAATATTCAGAATTCCTGTTTTGTGTGCCAAGATATAAAGTGAAGAAGTTAGATGAATGCAAGGAGTCAATCTGTATCGTGATGACGTGTGTTTAAAAGTTGCACTACCTAAATGTTTCTGAGGGGACTGCTGTGCGCGCGGTTCCGTGTGTCGTCTTCTCGCCTGTGGATTGCTGCTCAGCCCGGGAATACCTGGAATCCCCATAGTCACCAGGGAGGACGTTGGGGGATGTAGCCTAACAAGGCCGGCTTGTGCCAATCAAGGGAGGCAGGACTGCTGCAAGGGTCTGCAGGGGTGAGGGGTCTGGAGACGGGGATGGAGAGGGGGATGGGAGACAGTCCAGCACTCTGACCCACTGTCACTGGGCCAGTCTCAGCCCGGCTGCATGTTCTTCTGAATCCGAACCCCACACCTGCGTCCACGTAGCGCCCGCGTTATGCAGCGCTGCCCGTCCTCCAGCAGTGCAGTGTCTTCAGTGATTCAGACTTTTTTCACTGTAGCATGAAATATACTCAGATATACACATTATTTTATGCAATAAATTGTCTAAAATGCAAGGTGGTTATTTTCAATACTGTTGAAATACGTGATTGCAGCGCACTCCGTTTTCCCTGTCCTCCCCTGGGCGGCAGGTGGCTCAGCGCAGGCCTGCACAGCTGGCCGGGGCTCGGGGCTCGGAGGCTCGGCGGCTCGGCGGCGGCCCCGTGCGCCCTCGGCCCCCGCCCCCCGCCCAGGAGCTGGGTCCTGCTGCGCCGCGCTGCCAGCCCCAGGTCGGTTCCAGGCCCGGCAGGGCGGGCCGCGGCTGGCGCCGTCGCGAGGCTGGTGCCCCGCGTGGGAACGGGCTGCGGCTCCGGCCTCTGCAGCCTTGGGGCCAAGTGGGCCCCGCGCGTCCGCGTCCGTGCGCATCCCGGGGATTCCCGGGGAGGGGCCCCTTCCTGCGGGGTCTCTCGGCCGGCAGGCGGCTGCTGTGGGTTTGTTCGGGCGTCAGGATGTCCACGGGGCACCGGTGCACACGCAGCCTCCGCAGAGGGAGAAGGTGGGCAGCGGCTGCCACCGGGCCTCAGGCTGCTGCAGGTGCACGTGCAGGGGTGCGGGCCCCCCACTGGGCTCGGCTCGGCCAGGCTCGGAGAGGCTGGGCCCCTCGTCCGGAGGGGACCCCGCGGGTGGGGGTGTCCGGCCAGGCACCAGGGGGAAGCTGCGTCAGCGTGGGGACCTCAGGAGCAGCTCCCACCGGCCGCCCCCGCAGCTGCAGCTCAGAACAGCTCGGGCCCGTCCCACCTGCCGCCAGGTGAGCTGCGTCTGGAAGCGGGGCTCACGCTGCGGGCCTGCGGGCGCCCCGGCGGCTCCACGCGGGTCCGTGGCCACGGGAGGATGCTGAGCTCCCCTGGACGCCTTGGTCCGCCCCCCGGGGCGGCCTCACGGTGACAGGGACACGGGCCGAGGCAGCAGCGGGCCCCCCGGGAACATCCGCGCAGTGTGCAGCCGCGGGCCCGGGACGGCGGAGGACGGCGGCGGGTGGGCGGCTGCTGCGTGGGCCTCCGCTCCCCGCCGCCCCAGCGCCTGCGCGCCGAGCCCAGCCGAGCCCAGCCGAGCCCCCACCCGCCGGACTCCCGGGCCTCGCGCACCCTGGAAGGTGCCCCTGCGGGTGCGGCCCGGAGGCCCCCGAGTCCCCGCTGAGGCCGCTCGCCCCGGCCAGGGGCTGCCGTCCCGCCCCCGCGGAGGCCCCTCCAGCCGCCGAGGGGCCGAGCGCCGACCTGGGTGTGTGGGGCACGTGTGTGTGCGGGGTGTGCGGGGCGCCTACGTACGTGAGGGGGCGCGTGTGCGGGCACGTGTGCGGGGGGGCCGTATGTACGGGATGTGTGTGTGCGGGGCTCTTGTGTGTGCGAGGCGTGGGTGCGGGGTGCCTGTGTGTGTGTGCGGGGTGCGTGTGTGTGCAGGGCGTGTGCGGGGGCACGTTGTGTGCGGGGTGTGTGTGCGGGGTGCGTGTCTGTGCAGGGCGCGTGTGTACGGGGTGCACGTGTGTACAAGGTGTGTGTCTGTGCAGGGTGTGTCTGCATGTTGCGTGTGTTTGTGCGTGTTGCGTGTGTTTACGCAGGGTGCGTGTGCAGGGTGCATGTGTGCACAAGGTGCATGTGCGGGGCACGTGTGTGTGCGGGGAGCATTGTGTGCGGGGCGTGCGTGTGTGCAGACTGCATGTGCGGGGGGCGCGTGTGTACAGGGTGTGTGTGTGCGCGGGTCGCGTCTGTACAGGGCGCTGTGCGGGGCGTGTGTGTGGAGCGCGTGTGCGGGGCACGCACTCACGTGCCGCCCCAGGGAGCCGCGCATGCCTGACTTCGAAGCCCGCAGGTGTCCCGCCCACCGCCCAGACCCAGGGCCCCCGCGCTCGCCCCCAGCCTTGCGCCTCGCCCAGGAAGGACCGTGCCGTGTCGGGTGTGGCTCCTGCGTCCGGATGTGCGAGGTGCTGTGGGACTCGCTCGCCCGGTGCGTGAGCTGCCGAGGCGGGGACGCGGTGTAGACACGCACCTGAAGGGCCGCGTCGGCGTCCTGGGAGGAAGCTCGCGGTGGACCGTGCGGCCGAGGGGGCGCCGGTTCTCCCGCTGAGCCCCGAGACCCGCCGAGCGCACACGCGGACCAGCGGCTGCTACGCCGGCGCGGAGCACTTGCGACTTGCACCTTCGCCGTGAGACCCTTTGAATAAAGAATCTACAGGAATTCCGCGGCGCTTTGGTTGCACCAGATGCTCCTGGTTCTGGCCTTCGGGGGGCGCTCGGTTGCGGCCGCGTGGGGGAGAGGTTCTGCGCCGAGCTTCATGCAAAGTGACATGTCTACATGTCACATTGTAGAACAACTGACCGTGAAAAGTGCGTATTTTGTTACGATTGCAGGAGGTCTAAGCCAAGCCCTTGGCCTGCCGGGGGCCCGTCCAGTGGGGGTGTCCGTCCAGTGCGGAGAGGGTCCGTCCAGTGCAGGGAGGGTCTGTCCAGTGTGGGGAGGATCCGACCAGTGCAGGGGGGCCTCCAGTGGGGGGGCCTCCAGTAGGGGGGCATCCAGTGCAGGGGTCTATCCAGGGCGAGGGAGGGCCTCCAGTGGGGGGGCCCTCGAGGCATCTGGGCTCTGATCCCTCTGGGCCTTTTCTGCTACCTCGGAAGCTGCGCAGCCAGCGGGTTGAGAGCCGGGGAATGTCAGGAAGACAAGTCCCCTTGGAGACCCGCCTTGGCCAGACTATCGGTTCAGGTTGTCACCACGGAGACTCGGCCACCAGCTCTGGTGAAGACCCCTCGAGGGCTCGTGCCGCTGACCCTGTGACCCCGCCAAGCTGCCGCTGCCCTCGGGGAGCAAGTCCCTCAGCGGCCACACCTGTCACTCAGCATCTGTCCCCCAGCCCGACCCGGGCACCGGGGCCCCTGCACAGACCTTCGAAGGTTCTGATACCGAAAGGAGAAAAAGAAAGGCCCCCGACGCCTCACGGAACCACTGCTGACCTGGGTGCCGTGCAACCTGGGTCGTCGCACTGGACCGTGTTTCCACCTCAGTCCGTCCCCAGAGGACGGTGACTCTGATGGACCGACCGTTTTCTGTTTGCTTGGTGGCACATCTCATCTGAGTCATAGGAGAGGCCCTGCCCCCCCAGGGAGGCATTACCGGGGCGCCCCACCTGGCCTCCACCTACCACCTGCTCGCCACACCTGTTCCCAGAGGGCCCCACCCGATACCTTCCTCCGGGGCCTGGGCCCTGTCCCTGCTGTCCCTGGCTGCCCCCCGGCTGCCCCCAGTGCCCCCGGCTGCCCTCCACTGTCACCCACTGCCCCCGGCTGCCCCCCGCTGCTCCCCGCTGTCCCCAGCTGCTCCCTACTGCCCCCCTGCTGTCCCAGCCTGCTCCACGCTGTCCCCAGCTGCCCCCAGCTGCCCCCTGTTGCCCCCGGCTGCCCCTGATGCCCCCTGCTGCCCCCCGCTGCCCCCTGCTGTCCCCGGCTGCTCCCTGCTGCCCCTGGCTGCTCCCCACTGCCCCCAGCTGCTCCCCGCTGCCCCCCCCCACTGCTCCCACTGCACCCCAGGTGTCCCCACTGCCCCCCAGGTGCCCCCACTGTCCCCAGGTGCTCCCTGTTGTCCCCCCACTGCCCCTGCTGTCCCCCACTGCCCCCCATTGTCCCCCCACTGCCTCCCGCTGGCCCCCGCTGCCCCCCCACTGTCCCTGGCTGCCCCTGCTGTCCCCAGCTGCCCCCCCACTGCTCCCCGCTGCCCCCCGCTGCTCCCTGTTGCCCCCCACTGCCCCCGAGCCCCCTCGGGTTCTGTGCGGCCTGGGCAGCCAGGGCCCTCCGCGGAGCGCCACTCCCAGGCTTCCCGCCCGTCCAGAGCGGCTGCGCCAGAGCCAGGTGCTCACGTGTCCGCCGGGGCTTCCTTTCTGCAGAGCTGATGGAGGCCCGACCTTTACTCTGAACCATACGGCTTCCTTTCAATGTGCTTCGTTTCTCTATCGCTATTTTTTCATTTCATGGTTTTCAAAAATCACATTTTCTGTTTTTGTCTAGTTGAAAGCTATACTTAAATGTGTACAACACTATTCATATCATTACGCATTTACTTGTGACTCCAAAGCAGCTGCCTACGAGAGTACAACCGTGTTGGGACTTTTTGGTAGTTCACGTGCACTTGCGTTCTCATCATCACAAGTCACGGAGGTTTCTAACAGCTGTGTGTGCTCACTTCAACATAATTCCCGGTTATATGCAGAGAAATAGTTCTGTTGTGTATCTGCCTCTTTTAACTGAGCAATGGTGACGTAGGTCCTAGACCCGAAGTCTGTAACTGCAATATTTTATTTTATTTTTTATTTATTATTATTTTTTTTTTTAAGATTTTATTTATTCATCCATGAGAGACACAGAGAGAGGCAGAGGGAGGAGAAGCAGGCTCAAGGCAGGGAGCCTGATGCGGGAATTGATCCCGGGACTCTAGGATCACACCCTGGGTCAAAGGCAGGCACTGAACGGCTGAGCCACCCAGGGATCCCTGTAACTGCAATATTTTAAAGAAAGATGTCGCTCTAAGTGCTGCTGGCCACGGAATCTGCTTTTCCTGCTTGTTCCTAGAGCTGTGGTCCCACCATAGCACAAGCTCCCGGAGACTAATCGGCGATACACGGGGTCTCCTGCTTTTGTCTTCTGCAGTCTTTCAAAAACAAAGCGCATATGCGCAGGGGAAACTACATGGGTTTTAAAATCTAGTCTCAAAGAAATACATTTATTTTTTTGTAGCTAACCTTTCCTCAAGCCCAGGTTCTCCGTGGACGTGTTCGCAGATCATCTGAGGGCCTCCCGGCGGGCGGAGCCTGAGCCAAGGTTTGGGGATGGTGCCCCGGAGACACCAGGCAGCCAAGCCCAGGGCGTGAGCAAGAGCCCGCAGCGGGAGCGGTTCCAGCTGGAGACAGGCGCCTCGGGTCCGGGCTGGGATCCTGTGGCAAAAGGACTCCACGTGAGATTAGAATGCCATTATCTCTAATCAAGTATAGAGATCCACAGATGACAT